ATTTGTGTTCCACACTTTCTTAAGAGAACAAAAGCACATAACTTCTGTTACCACACCTCTCCCAAATCCCATTTTGCACCCTGCCCCCTGCGTCCCTCTCTCACCTAGGGGTAGCCAGCATTTATCATAAGTGTAGGGTATATTATTCTTTCAGTCCACTTTTACAGTAATAATTCTGTGCTTGTTTATACACACACACATAAGTATAAAACTCATGTCAAGTATAGTCATTGCAACTTCATTTACAATAATGAAAAATTGGAGAAACCTAAATATTAATTAGTAGAGAAGTGAATAAATTATGGGTTTTCATACAGTGGGGTAGGTCTTGGAAACATGTTAATTAAAAACAGGCTTGTAAATCATATTTTTTAAAGATTTTCATTTATTTACTTTTAGATGAGAAGGGAAGGAGAGAGGGAGAGAAATATCAATGTATGGTTGCCTCTTGTGCGTCCCCAGCTGGGAACTGGCCTGCAACCCAGGCATGTGCCTTGACTGGGGGGTCAAACCACGATCCTTTGGTTCGAAGGCCCACGCTCAATCCACTGAGCTCCACCAGCCAGGGCCTAACTCGTATTTTTATTGTTTATGAACACACATATGTGTAGCAAAATGATAACATGGACAAGAAGCATACAAACCAACTTTATAGTAAAGTTAGTTCTGGGAAGGCAGGGAGGGAAATGGGATTCGTGAGGAATAAAAGACCTCAATTACACCTTCAATGTCTTAAAAATTTATTGAAGCAAATATGGCAAAATACTAACATTTGTTAAACCCGAGAGTGAGTATATGCTTGGATTTTTTCTCTATATTTTTCTGTATGTTGAATATAATTCACAATTTAAAATACAAATAATACTCCTTTGTAAACATAGTTCTTAGAATTTATACAAATTGCATGATATTGTAAATATTGTTCTGTATCTATCTTGCTTATTTTCCTCAACTTGTGGTTTTCAGCTTCATCCATATTGGCACATGTAGATCTAGATCATTTAACTGCTGCTGTTGGTATCCCATCATACGTTAATTTCATTTAATGTATCCATCATTCTATTGATGGACATGTAGGTCATTTTTAGGTTTTCTAGATGATAAACAGTGTGCAGTGAACACTCTCATAGAGATCTTGCAGACAACTTTTCCCCTAGAGCACTGGTCTTTAAATTGGAGTGTATGAACCCCTGAGGATACCCAAAACCTTTTCAAGAAGTCTAGAGACCAAAGTAGACTTTTAAAAATTCAGTTTCAAGACCCTCAACCTGAATGTGCATGCTTTCCTCCATATGTTTATTTCAACCATAGACCCGTGTACAGGGTTGTGGTTAGGACATTGGGCTGGTTCTCCTTTTCCCCATCCATTCACAATTGCCCTTCTCCCATTTGACTACAGAAGGACATAGTTGCATCCATATCAAATCTCATTTGGAATTTAATGTATAAAATTTAATACATATACTTTTATATTTAGTTTTTATTTTTAAATTTCTGTTAATCCATCTAAAATTAATTTGGTGTTTAACATGAGACAACAATACATCTATATATCTAATAACTTTGATGTGAACATCTAAATAATTTTACTGGATAATTTATACTTTTACACTCATATCAAAACATTTTTTTGCACATGAGAAAAGGATACAGTTAGTGGATGTATCTTTCCACTATTTTCCCAGAATTTCCTGTAGTTATAGTGGCTACATGAGACTGTTCTGGCCAATGAGATGTTAAGCCTGCTAAGAATTAATGAAAAGATTTTTGCTTTCTTGAGACAAACACTGTCTCTTATTCCTCCCTTTCCCTTCTGTTTCCTGGAAGTAGGATGCCTGGAGGTGAAGCAAGTCTTTCCAGTCCTCCCAGGAGAGCTTATCTCAGGGAAGTGGAATCCATTCTCTTCTGGTTGGTCTAAGGATAATTCCATCCTTATTGCCAGTGGTTGGTTTGGTTATCGGGGTGTGACCCAATTCTGCACACTTTGTGAAGTTTGCTGTCAGCTTCTGTGAAAGTTCTTCCCTGCTCTTAAAAGAGACTCTTGGAAAGCCATTCTTCCTCCATCCTCCCTTGAATGTTTTCCTTCTGCGCTATGCAAGTTTTACAGTTTAGTTGGTTTAGATTTGTCTGTCTTTTCCTGAATGGTAATATTTTTTGTGCATTAAAAAATCCTTTCCTACTGAAGGTTAAAAGATTCTTTAATGTAGTGTCCTAATAATTCTGGGGTTCTGTTTTTTCACTTTTAGATCTTTAATCCATATGTGATTTATTTGGGATATGGTATGAAGTAGAAATTTGATTTTCCCCTCCACCTGTAGAACCAAGTATCCAACTTTCTTAGTTCAATAGTTCTTTTTTTTTTTTGCAATTGATGTTTGAAGCCACCTTCTGGTGGTAAAAAATAGTTATTATATATTTAGTATTTTTAAGTGTATCACATATAAACTCATTTAATTCCTACAACTTTATATGTACCTTCATATATATGTAAAAGTAAAGGCACGTGATGCATTTTTTTACAATTCTGAAATTGGAAAAGGTCTAAAAATTATACTTTAAAAAATTTCATTTGGCAGCAAAACTTCACCTGAACTGGCATGTAGCTATCCACAGTCTTTTATTTATTCCTCTTAGTATGGCTATTAATACATTTTGCTACAGAACTATAAGTGTATTTGATTATCAGGTGATAATCTTGAAGCTGTTTGGATGTGACATAAACAAGGTATGTATTTCGGATAGCTTTTCAAAATTGAAAGAATTCTAAATTTAGAAAACCATCTGGCAGGGGTTTCAGGTAAGGGTTGTGGACCACTACTATATTTATCCCTATTTTACAGCTGAGGAAACTGAAATATAGAAGTTAAGTCACTTGCTTAAGGTCACATAGTTAACAAAAGAATAATCAATGTAATTAATAATATTTTTAGAGTTTATTGTGACAGTCATTTGGTTAAATGCAGTATATTCATTATCTCAGTTAATTCTCACCACAACCCTATGAGTTACTATTATTCCCATTTCCTAGATGAAGGAACTGAAGCTTACAAAAGTTCACAGCTCCCCTGAACACACAGCTGTTAAGCGCGGTGAGAAACAATTTAAAGACAATTCAGTCTGACATCAGTATTTGGTTACTACACTATCCCTTACAAACTTACAGTATCAGCTCTTCCCTTTCTTCTAAATGTCTTTTAGAACTATGTGTTTAATTACCTCTTGGATATTAGAGTAAGATTTTAAAAACATGTATCAGGTCATTTTATTAATTTGCTTAAAAACCTCCTATGACTTTTTACTGCATTTAGAGTAGAATCCCAGTTCCTCATAATGGCCCCTTCCTATCTCTCCCAGCTTACCTCCTAGCCCAGCAGACTTCTCTTTGGCTTTTACACTCAGTGTATCCTCTACCTGAAAGGCTTCCTAGCTCTTCACGCAGCTGGCTCCCTTTGCCATTTGGCCTTTAGTTTAAGTGACTCCTTGATTTTTCACTAATTACCTAGTCTAGAGTCTCTAATCACCTTCTCTATCTTATCCTTCTGTTTTACATAACATGTAAACATTATATATATAATCTCTTTTCTCTTTTTCCTTCCTTTAGAATGTAAGTTCAGCCAGAGTGGGCACCTTGTCTATTCTGGTTTGTTTTGAAGCCCTATTTTTTTAAGTAAAGAGTTTAGCAAGGTGGTAGGTACTTAATTTTGGCTGAATAAATGAATGTCCCAACCAGTAAATAGTGCCTGCTGGTTAGTTTCAGTGGTGGGAGATAAATTTGAGAATGCAGGTGGGAAGAGACTGGGAACTGTGAAGATATTTGAACAACAGTGCCTATCACAGTGTCTGATACAGCATAGGTGACAAATAAATATTTGATGAGTGAACAGTAAATATTAATACTAGCTTAGATCTTGGGCAAATTACTTGAACTTTCTGGGCTTAGTTTCCTTAACTATAAAGCGAAGGTTAAAACTTACTTTACAAAGTTAGCCTACAAATTATATGGGATAATGCATGCCAGATGCCTACCACTTAGCAGATATTTTAGTTTCTTTCCTCTTATATTTTTATACTTTATTGTTTACAAAGCTCTTGTAACATCTTCTTATATGACCTCATTTTGTTTCCATACCCTTCTACAGAACTTCTCATTAGCCTCATTTTATAGATGAAAAACAGACTCTGGTTGAGACATAGCCTCGTCAGGTAATAAGAAGTCCATTTACAAGTTTTACAAGCAGAGGAGTGACACAATAAAAGCATTGCTTTTTTGAAGAGTAAGCTGTTAGTGGCATATAAGATGGGCTTGACTGAAGAAGGGTGGAGAAATATTACTTTTGACTACTTCCACTAAAATCAACTTTATGGTGATAAGGACCTGCACTAGGTGAGAGAATAAAGTTTAAAAGCCTAATGAATTAAGCAACCGAATAGCCAAATAAATCTCCCCCACCCCAAAACTGGGAGTTTTCACATCTGATTGAGAAAATGAATGTACCAACACCATAAAACAATTAAGAAATCAAACTTGGCAAATTGATTGTCAAAAGACCTTCCCTCGAATGCACATGCAGAACTTTTGGCAAATAAGGCACACATGTGAGCCGTGTCTTAAGTGCCACTGCAGATCTTTCTTAATTTCCCCCCTCCCACTGGCAAGGTCCTTCATAATTGCTTGCTCTAGAAGCAGTCCCCTGGGACGAGGATGGAGTGGAAAAGAATGAAAAATCAAAGTTTCTGAACTTCTGGAACTTTGGCTAAATCGCGTTTTTTTCCTTCTCTAGAAAATAAGGAGTCCCATATAGCCTTCTGTCTCGTTTTAAGACTAACGACCCTCTCCAGACAATCAAAACGGGACTTTTTTTTTTTTTTCTTTAAGCGCACGCAGCTAGGCCGAGGCTGCAAGTACTAAACCTGCCCTCTTCCAAGAAGCGGAGCTCCTCCCCCCTCCCCCACGGCGAGTGATGTCACTTCCGGCGCGCTGACGCCCAGTCCGGCGTGCCGACGCCTGCGTCAGCAAAGAGCGGAGCTGGGGGCACCGGGTTTGAAGTCGTGTGGGTCGGCGGACTGCCTCTTCGGCTGTGTCAGACCCCCTGCTCCCGGGCGGCGGCGAGGACGAGTTCGGGTTGGTGGCGGGGCAGATGCCCCAGGGCCCGTGCCGGGACGCCCCGCGCCGCACCGGCCGCTCCCCTTTGCCCCACGTCCTGGGCCTGCGTCGGTCTAGTGTCTGGAAACTAGCGCCTCAGCGGCGCGGCGCCTGGCTCGCGGGGAACCTCGAACCGCCGGCGCCCGGTCATGGCGGTCTCCAGGTGGGTTTTAGTCCTGAGGAGCGGACTGGAAGGCGGCCCAGGCGAGGCACCGTCTCCTCTCCTTGACCCCACTCCTGGAAGGGAGCGGTTCCCGTTGTCACTGGGCTCGGGCGCCTGCTTCCCGGAGTTCGCCCCTCAGTCCGCGGGGCTTTGGGCTCGGTTCCTCTTCGTGAAAGGTCCAAAGTGTCTTTCTGTGTTAGTGGAATTGACTTACGGCTACGATGGAGCTAGTTTTTGCCTTCATCACGTTTCTCTTGTCTGGTTTCTCTTCCCTCTTTCAGTTTTAGGGGACCCTTTTATCTTAGTACTCTAAGGCTGATCCCTAACCTCCATTTCCTGGGGAAACTTGGTCGCAACTCTCTAAGTTGGGGCTTTTAGAGTGCTATAACTTAAGAGACCTTTTGATTACGTTAAACTTTTATATTTACGACTTTAGGGATATGTTCTTTCCTGCGGACTTTTTTTTTAAAACTTCACAGTAAAATTCTTCCTTTTGTGTAACAGTAAGCATTCAGTTGTCAGCATTGTAGTTTTTAAGGAATTATTGTATTAGTACCATTTTCCTTAACTAAAGTGTGAAAAATATATCACAAATCTTAAATTACCTAACAATGTTGCCCATCAACAGGAAAGGCTGGGAAAACCGTAGGAAAGCCAACGTGTCTGGATAACTATAGGAGGCAAGTCTTCCTTCCCTGCAATAGGATAGAATGGTGGGAAAACTTTGTGTCAGAGGTTTGATTTCAGTGGGTCTATGTACATGTACGTAGGGGACATGACAGTCCCTCCGACAGCAAGGATTTAGCATGTTCATTAGAGTTCGAGAGGTGAATTTTCATGAGATGTGGGTCCTTCCACCACGTAAACTGAAGGAAAAATGATAGATCAGAAAACAAATAGTTTTCATTCTCTTCTTCCATAATTAATTGAACACGTTCCTTCAATATAAAATGTGCTCAAGCTTTGTCGGTTTTGCAAGAGAAAGAAAAGATCACCCATTCTCATAGACTCCCTAGGTAACTGATGAAATAGTTTGTGGGAGAAGCCCATGGGAGTTGGGAGAAAGGGGTTGCTAGGTACCTGTACATGGAGCAGCTAGTTTTTATTTCATAGGTTAATTGAATCCATTCATCGTGAGGATATTCTTGTTTTGTGATATATAGTAAAGTGTCTTGAAAGAATACAGTGGTATTTTTAATTTTTGCAAATACAGAAAGTTGTATCTTCTTTGTTATCTTCCATATAAAGACATAAATATGTTATAAATATATTAATATGTAAACTTAATATGAGATTTGTTTATCAGGTGATACCATGTTAAGGGAATGAGTTGCTCTTGAAATTCCTTTCTTATATGGAAGTACTTTTTCACAGTATGGGATATAATTTTATAGACACAAAAATGAAAGAGTTTAAAATAGCCTGATCTGCTTGGCCAGTGCCCATCTATTTACAGAAGTTTAGGGCACGTAAATTTCTGAATGAATGAATAGATTTCTAAAGGTACTGCCTTTCCTTCTTGACATTGGGTTTGAAAGAATAGTGCTTTTTCCCCCTGTAGGTTCTTTATTATTCACCTTGCCAAAATTCTGTTAAATTACGCTTTTTAAAAAGTCTTTCATAGTTTTGTGAAGGAGTTACTCCTCTACATATTTTAGTAATATAATAGGTTCAAAAGAAACACTTTTGAGACTCTTGTGTTTTGGGGACACTGTCAGTTCTTGCCTTTTTCATTTGTGGATTCACTCTGAATAGCAAACTTGACTTTTAAACTGACCTCCATGCACTAAGCATGTTTCATTACTATTCTTTTTCACCTGTTCGTGTATGCTTGTGGAATACAAACGCATTTAAATATTTTATGCAGAATAGGTGGAAGGTAGTTCAGGAGATAAAAGTCACACTTGCCAGAATTAAATCTGAAATATTTGTACTCAGTTTATATCAGTGCACATAATTGAAAAGAGTCTTTCTAATATTTTTAGGACCTTGTAAATATTTCCAACAAAAAACAGTAAGGTGGTGCCATTATTCCCTCAATTACCAGGTTCAGATATCTGGGAATAATGTTTGACTTCTCCCTCCCTCCCGTCCCCCAGCAGGTCATCAAACCCAGTCCTGTCAGTTCTACCTTTCTAATCTGCTTCTGGTCAGTTTCCTTGCTCCCTCCCTCCCATACCAGTCACCACAATCCTGCTTGATAACACCATCATCTCTAATCCAAGACACCTGCAAAAGCAGCCACTTGATCTTCTTGCCTCCCACAGCATCTCTTTCTAATTTCTTCATCACTCCACCATATTTGCTAATACATGAATTTTAATGTCATTTATCTTCTTAATGCCATTGGATAAAGTCCAAATTTCTTAACATATCTTACCAGATCCTTTGTGATCTGGTTTCTGCTTCACCTTTTTAGCTTCATCTTGTGTCAGGGTCTATGCCTCTCTCTGTCCCTTTCCCCTCTTTTCCAAATTTGTGTTCTCACTCCTTAATCTTTATCTGTGGAACACTTCTTTCTTGTGCAGCATCCCACCCCCCCTCCAAAAGTCTGGGTAATTCCAGACTTAAACTGTAGGTTAGTCATACGATAGTTTGTTCAGGAAGCCTTTTCTGGCTTTACTTCTTCTGAGGGATTTGTACCAATGTATTCTGTCAATCATAACATTTATCATATTTTGTAATTGATTGATTCATTGTTCTCTCCCCTGCTTGAATTAACATAAACTTTGTGAGAGAAGGGAATGCATCTAATCTTTCTATCCCAGCAGAGTGGCTGGGTTCTAGTAGGTGCTCAATACAAATTTTTTTTACATGATTTTGTTTCTTGTTTTAATCCCCATCATGATTTATTGTAATTTGTGTGTAGTAGAATGTTTCCAGTGCTTTTCAGTGAGTGCTTCTGAGTTTAGCTACAGTTTTTTGTTTTGTTTTTTTTGTTGTTGTTTTTTTCCTTCTGGAAGAAAAGCTTTCACAGTAGCTTTGAATATTAGCCAGGCTTATAACTTTAAAAACATAATAGATATTAGAACTAGTTTTAAAAGTTTATAAATTGGAATTGGTACAATTCTGTGATAGTGCGGCATTTTAAAATGCAAATTGGCTATAATGTAACCCTGCATTTTGTGTGACCAAATTTTTTAGACCCTGTTACAGTTTTATAAAAACCTATAGTTTTATAGGTACTTTGGTACTTTGAATTGTAAGAATGTGGCAAATTATGAAATGCATGGTCAACTCTTGATGCATGTGTGAGTTAAATCTTGCCCCCCTACAAAAAAAGCCCCACAAATTTTGTGACTCTTTTAAAACTGCAAATACAAGGGAGCGCATGCACAATTATAGCATTTGAAGTTCTCCATAAAAAGCAGTAAAGTATTATTGAAGAATGTATAATTCCTTTAGACCCTTAGTAAAAGAGATAGTATACAAATGTAGGAGTAGAGAACAATGTTGCCCTTTAAATGTGAATGCTGGAAAGTCAGCTAAGCTCACTCACTAGCTACTTGACTTGCTCATACAAAACCAACTTCAGCAAAAAGGCAATTAGTAGCATTACAGCTTTCAATGTTTGCAAATTGTTAAATCTTTGAATGCAGCTGTTTTGTTTTGTGAGCCCTTTTCCCAGTATCATCTGTCACCTAGCTAGTTTGGGTTGGGCCGCCAACGGTAAGGCAGCCTTAGAAGAATTGTTAAAGGGTATTATGCTCATTACAGAAGATGGTGAATCTGTAACATTATTGGGTTTCATGCCTTCATACAGATTTTTTTAAAGGTTGTTTTTTGATAACCTTCGCCTGTTTATGCCACAGTTGTGTTAGTTGACTATTGTTTTACATTGACTAACTAATATGAACACGTTTTTCCTTGATCATAGAGAAAAAAATTAAAATCAGAATTTTCCTTCAGTGATCGAAGCTATAAAGGTGCATGTCTAAAATGTCTAGATATTAATTATGATTTGACTACTTAGAAGCCGTACCTTACACCTGTGACATATAACTTTGCATTTGAAAGTGATGCACTGTTCAGAAAAGATTCAGGAAAAAATCAGAACATACCCTGTTATGGAAGAAACAAATTACTACATATTAACAGAACTTTGCTCTGTTTTGTTAGTTAGTTCTCTCTCTCTCTCTCTCTCTCTCCACTGCTGATACTTCAGAGAAACGTTTTTGCAACAGGTATGTTCTGTGAAATAAAAGGAAGCCTCTTGATGTGGGGCAAGTTTTAGTGGATCCTTCCTGATAATGACAGGGAAAATGCTAAAATGATCTTAATTATTAATAGGACAGCATGTTCTTGTGTTTGCTAGTCCTGTTCCTCTTTTACTGCTAATTTCAATTCATTATAGGATTGACAGAAGGAATTATTGTAGATTTCATACAGTGGGTGGTCCATATCTGCAGGTTCTGCATCTTGGTTCAAACAACTGTGGATCAAAAATATTTGGGGGAAAAAGTGATGTTGATGTGTCCTATTTAGGCCTACAGTGGTTGCATCTATACTCAACATGTACAGACACTTGTCATTCCCTAAACAATACAGGGTAATAACTACATAGCATTTGCTTTGTCTTTGGTATAAGAATCTAGAGATGATTTAAAGTACATTGAGTCCTCACTTAACATTGTTGATAGGTCCTGAAACTGTAAGGGAAGCAACTTATAATGAAACTATTTTGTCAAACAGTAATTGATATAAACAACAGTTAAGTTCCTGTGGCATCTCATCCTTTCATCAACATTATAATGAAACAACCTTGAACAAAATGATATTGAGGACCTGCTGTATATAGGAGGATGAACGTAGGTTATATGCAAATACTATGCCATTTTATATAAGGGATTTGAGCATCTGCAGATTTTGGTATCTAAGGAGGGTGGAGTTGGGTGTCTCGGAACCAATCTCCCTTGATACTGCTGGATGACTATATATCACATATTACATACTTCAACAAATTCAGGTACAGAAAAAGCCAGGAAAGGTAGAGGAGGCAT